AGAAAGAATGTGAAACAAATTGGTTATATAATTTTCATTTTTAAATATTTTAAAATATAATTTAAATTGATTTTACACACTTTAAGCAATATCGTATCGCATATCGAATATCGCATTTTTTAACAAGGTATCGCATATCGCAATTTTCTTCAATATCGCACAGCCCTAATTCTGAATATCTTTTATTTTTACTCTTTAAACTAATATTGTGTTAACCAGGTTTCCAGTGACAGACTTTGTTCAACACAATCACAGGCAATCAGACATGTGGGTTTTTGTGTGTTTAATACACATTTATGTTCAGTGGGATTTTGGACCAATGAGATTTCAGCGTGTATAGGGCTAAAAATAGAAACAAAGTGAACATCAAAATGTTCTGTCACTTTTTATTTGCTGCAAAAAGTTTCTGGTGTTTTTTTCAGGCAGTGAAAATTTTTAATTTGTCGAAAATTTCCTTAATCTTAAATTATAATCTTTAAACTAGGGGTGGGCAATATACTGATAGAAATGTGTCAACTGGTAGAGATTTTGGACTATTGTCTCTATCCCGGTTACACGCTCACGTGACGCTGCTGTGCTGCGTGGTCACGAAAAAATATTATTTGCACACGTGTTTAAACATTGAGGTTTAAAAACAAGTGATTTTAAGCCGCTAAAATGGAATAAGCAGTGGAAGAGAACTAATTGGCTATATAAATGTGTGTGCTGTGTGAGAGGCACGTGCATGTGAAGACCGTGCTCATAGAGTGCGGGAGTATTGAACGTTATTGAAAGTTATTTTTGCCGCATTATAGGTCTTGAACAGTTACGAATATGCACACTTTTATGTGACAAAATGCCCGTCTTTGCAAGTATCCACAAAAACACAGTAATTTAGGTATTAAGTGAAAACAAGCAGCTGAGAAAGGAAAAACATATCTAACAGAATATTGTGTCTGGGCAGCTCTTAAAGTGACAGCAGTCTAATATTACTGCTGTCTGTCATTCATGTTAATCAAACAACAAAAGAGAGAAAATCTCTCACTGCTCTTGACTAAATCACTTTTGTAACTTTAATAAGAAGAAATACATATTTAATGTACACAGTGAAGAATATACAGTGTTTTTTATATATTTGATTACTTTATACAATGAATATCAAATTTTTTTCTACTGTATTTTTGCTTGTAATTAGATTCTTATGCAATCGTTGACTGTTTACTTGTCTTGAGTGAGCTTGAGTTTTTTTTTTTTTTTGGATATTTGTTTTTTTGTGATGTTGACACTGGTGACAAGAATTATGCATTTCCTATGGTATCAAGAATTTAGATATCATAAAGACCTTATTAATTTAAAGCAAAAATAACTATATCGTGATATATATATATATATATATATATATATATATCGAGTTCGAAGTCAAGGTATCGGTATCGATATCGAAAAATTTTGAACGATACCCAGCCCTATATATATATATATATATATCGTGAAATAAAATTGCTCATCGTGATATAAGATTTTGGTCATATCGCCCACCATTACTTCAAACTGGTAAGTAGAAGCAGAGCAACAACATTGCTGATACATGTCAGGAAATCACATCTCTACGCCTTTAGTGCTGCCTGAATTGGCTGTAAGTTTATAAACCAGACTTTTCAGAGTTCACAAATGCAAAACACTTTAAAAATCATCGACTCGTCCTCTAGAAGCAGGACTGTAGTGCTTTCCCCCCTCTTTTGACTAAGGTAAGAAAACTTGTTTGTCCGGGAAAGAGAATTTTCTCTCTTTTTGTTTTGGAGTGCTGTGTTTGAACTGTTGCCGGGGCAACGGTAAACAAGGTTGCCATGGTGACCTGGCTGTGGAAGCCAAAACATAGCATGTGACTGGCGAGGGGGGGGGTTGTGTAACTGGATACAAGAGTGTGTGTCCTCTGAATCTGAGAGCCGAGTGTGAATCACTGAGACAAACACACACTGAACTTACCACACTCTCACTTCTGCTCTCCAATACAGCACCAACACCTACTTTTGTTTCCGCGTGTCACAGTTTGCTAAAATACCATCCTCACCACACAGACTAAACTTCCTTTTTTGGACATAAAACTCAATATAAGATGAGTTTTTTCATGTGGTTTGTGTTGTACAACAATTAAATTGTTTATATAAGAAGGTGGATTGCCTTCAAGATGGATGCTTCTGAATGAGTGCTGGCTGTTTTCATAATTTAAACTGCGAGGTGGACGCTGATGCCGTGAGTGGGCCGTACTTGAGATGATCTAGTTGTCTATGCCAATAGGAAAGACAAAAGACACTCCGAATGAAGGAGCACGCTCGTTTCACTGATGTTATCATAACTTATATGGAAGCTTCTCAAGAAATTCTTGAAGCCACAAAAAAGTAATCGCGTATTAGTGTTTTTGTTCTGACATTTGTTTTGCGAGGGATTATAGTGGGATTTAATGTCAGATGTGCATTTAAAGTATCTGGAGGAAATGTTTTCCTGTTTGAATGATTTTATGTATGGAAGCATGTTCAAACTTTGCATTTAAAATTGATTTCTCTCTGTCAGGCTACTCTGGACGTAGTCATGAACTTGCAGTTCCATCTCATAGAGAAGCTATGGCAGACCTTTTGGTATTCAACAGCGCCATCTAGTGACGGAGCCACTAGCATTCCTAACAGGTGCCGTAGTCATGTAAACCTTCACAGGTTCCCAAGTCATGGAAAACCTGAAAATGCCTAGAAATGTTTTAAATTGTGATTTTTCAGGCCTGGAAAAGTCCTGGAAATAAGGCAAATCTTAGAAAGTCGTGGAGATTTCTGTATATAATATAAAATATAAATTTTTCTAGTTTTGATCTGCTCTGAAATATTCATAAGCTACACCACCATTCAAACGTTTGCCGTTGGTCAGATTTTATGTTTTTGAAAGTCTCTTATGCTCACCAATGCTGCATTTATTAGATAAAAATACAGTGAAACAGTAATTTTGTGAAATTTTATTATAATTTAAAATAACTTTTCTATTTTAATATTTTAAAATGTCCTTTGTGATGGGAAACCAGTCTTCATTGTCACATGATCCTTCAGAAATTATTCTAATAGGCTGAAGAAACATTTCTTATTATTATCAATGTTGAAAACCATTTTGCAGCCTATTATCTTTCTGGAAACCGTGATACA